GATTCTATAAAAGTCCATCTTATAAAAGGTTTGTATTTTATACTTTCATTCTTGTCTATCAATATCAGTACATATATGTTTACAGATGCATTATGTAAGATTTGGATAGAGTTGAACCTTCCTGCTATTATAATAGTTCCAATATAGATAATGAAAAATGAATATATTGAAAATTTCACTCAAATCACTTCATTCTGAGAGAAGTTATCAGTGTTCGAAGATGTAGCGTAGATTGATCATTATCGTACTAGCGATACTTGACAAGTCTAGATTACCCAGTTTCAAATTAAATTATTGAATGTCGATTTTGTTTTAATCCATTCAAAATCACGACCCTCCAATAGTCTAGAGAGTTGATTATAAGATTGTCATGTGAATACATGACTAATTAATAATTGTTAATATAAAATTTCAAGCCAAAACAAAGATTTGTTATAAAAGTAGATTTACCTCGTACATAATACATCTATAAATAAATTATAGAAATAACTTATAAACATTTTGTTAAATCAAAATATTTTTCTCTTACATAATGCATCTTAAAATAGACGATAGAAATAACTTATAAATATTTTGTTGGATCCAAATATAAACAAAGCCGTATTGGTTTAATTAGGTTATGACCTTGTATGTCCAACAATTAATGTTCGTTTCATATTGACCATGATGTACATATTATAATAAGTTTTTTTTCATCTGGGTCAAATAACCCCAATACCGTATTTCTTATAACATGTGCCCCTGTCAATAATCTCCAGTTGTTGATCTGAAATTTCTAGTCATTTAAGAAGAAGAATCTTTTTTTATTTTGAAACATGCCGTTCATGTTTGTGATATATAACAATGTCCCTTTGTTACGAAACATGATGTCAAATTTAGCTAAAATAGCAATTGTACAACACAAAGTATAACATAATGGTAATTGTATAATGGAATATACAGGTGATAATTCTATAGAATAAGCCGTGATTGTATTCCATAGAATTGTCAGAAATTGTCTACGGGATTTTAAACGTTGCTTTAATTGTTACGGTATCGAGGGTTTTACTATCTCCATTAAAACCATCTTTACCAAATCGTTGTATTGACCAGACGCATCGACTTGTATCGTGTGGTGTTTATAGATCTGTTTGTGGTGTTTGTCCAGATTTTGTATTCAGTATCTGGAACGTGACCTGAGATTTGAAAGCACATTTCATCATTTTAAGGTAGATGTATAAACAGCTGCCTGTGTAATACTTTAATTCAAGATACAACGGTGTACCCTGCACAATATAACATGGAATTGACAAAATGTTTCCAGAAACAGCATCAATTAAGCTAAAAGTATGTTGTATTGGTTGTCTCTGAGTATATTCTACCTGTCCTATTGTATTACGTAACTCCTCGTCATCAACATCACCAAAATTCAGACTTGGTATCTTAAAATCTGGAATATAAAACGATTTATTTTCTATAACCGTTAATCTGTTTCTCAGATCAGCGAACCCATCTGATAAATCTACGGAATCACCGGTTGTCAGATCGTCAGATAATTCGGCATTACCTGTTTTTAATTCATCGATTAAGGTGATGAGTTCTTCGTGCATCTGGTCAAGATTATGTTCATCGACTTCAGATTTCGTGATATCGAGCTTAATTTTTACACCTGTAAGATTTTACTATTTCACAAATAGTCGTAACTTGCTGATCCACCAAAATAACCCCACATACCAATGACTACAGGCTACGCTATAGTATACTACACCTTATTACAGGCTATACAATAGACTATCCCACGGATATATATAAGTGCATAACCTTCGAATAACTTGTTAATTAATTAATTAAAGATACATCCCCGTGTACAAACTGGGTGATTTGATTATGTATTTGGACTAAAAACATATTCAAACTAATTAATCTATCAAAATTTTGCTTCAAATCCTTCTCAAAACACTGTTTACGCAAGGGAATACCCCTACTATAACAAATCTATTAAAAGAGGTCATGTTTGTGTCATGTGACTTCGCTGACGAACAACCTAGCAACCATTGCGAAGTCTGAGGAGAATTCATTGCACACACAGGACGATGTTGTCTTTAATCGTTATCCAGTTATCATAAATATCGAAGACTAATTAAATTCCGTGATTTTTATCTCAGAAACTGTTGTACGTCTAACTCTTCATAAAGTTTATCAACATGCACATCAAGCACTCAATCTCCGCGTGCAACCTTTGACGTCACGTCACGTAAGATTGGATATTTCTACTTTCCATATATACCCAAATCGCCATCGCCATGCTTTTATTGGAAATAACCACCTGATAAATACTTTTCTGGGAACGTACCTTTAAGTTATACCTGATTAAATCGTCAAGTATAATAGGTTTTACATGTGTACATAATGCTAGCTCTTTACACTTCGCTTACTGTATTGTGTAATGGATAGGCCTAAATAAGAGGTGGACATATTCTGAATTGCTCATAATTAACCCATTGGAGAGAGGTTTTAACGTCCACTCGTCTAACATATGGTTCAGTTTTATTTCAATGATTCGCTTGCGCCTACGGGTATGTAGCAGTGTATGTGTGCAGGGGGGGGTGGGGGGCTGAGAAATCCCTACTCCTTGTTGTCACGTACAGGCAGGCATCGAACTGGCCACCCAACCACCCCATTGACGAATGGCTAAATATACGGCTATTATCTATCGTGATGGGGATGGGGATAATAATAGGGATATATTTATATAGTGCAAGAAGAACGACCGAGATGGCGTGTGAAATGAAATGGGGTTTAACGTCCTACTGTTCTGTTCCGACTGGGCTAATGAAGACAGGCATACGCCCTCCGTCCTGCACCACTGACAAGGGGGAAACCAAGTCGGAAAGTCCCGATGAACTTTCTCGGCCAATGCAGGGATCGAACACGTGACCTCGGGTTTGTAAATACAATAGAACTTAACCCCCTTTATTATTTCACCCATCTAATGTTTCATGTTTTAATAACTTTTTAAACTTTCAATCGTTTTATTTTACCTGGAGGCGATAGCATTATGACAGTTCAGACATTAATGATTTTAACTGTATAGTAAACTTGATAGATATATAAATTCCATTAATCATTTTAACTATTAATGCCATTAATCGTTATCATTGGCCATTCTAGGTTTTATATCGTTTCCAGTGTTAAATATTTTCAAGAATAATTCCATTGTTTATCTATTACCGTACTGGAGGTTCTCGTTTCTACAGTTTAGTGGGATCGGAGTCTAAGTCTAAAATTCGCATGTAAGCGATTTATTCCTGGCAAACTGACAACGATCGTGAAAACCATGGGTGTAAATATATAGACCAACCAATGGAGAATAATTCAATTGTTTTAACATAGCCCAGGGACTAATTGTTATAACAAATAATACATTGATCAGACGAACAAAATACGAAATATTACAAACATAATCTAATTGTTGTCAAACGAACAGTCCAGAACAGTTAAATAAAATGTGGAAATTATCCCCAAATAAACTTCATAACAACAAACGTCTTCCATTTATGAAGAAACGTGAATACTAGGGAGGCCTGAGGAGAATTTTTTGAAAAAAATGATTTTTTTTTTCTAAGTCCAATATCTTGTGGAACTCTTGTTCCCAAAACACTCTATGAATATTATTCGAACATTTTGTGGAATGTATTTATTTTCAGAAACCCAATATCATGTGGAACTCTTGTGGTGAAATGTTTCACACAAATGCTCCCAAACCTTGCCATAGATGAATATTAGTCCGAAAATTGCTCGATTTCATGTAGTGCTAAAAAAGATATAATGATTTTGAAAATATATGTGAAGATTCTGTATCCTCAGAAGCAGTGGTGGGTACGCGGCCCTCCATCAGGAAATAAAAAAAAAAATTCCGCACCGTAGATGAGATTTATAGCACTTTTCTGTTAGTTGAGATACAAACTTGAAACGACGAAAAATAAATTTAAATGGGTTTATTACCTTCCTGCATTTCTACACCAATTGAACTAATTAATGGACATACGTCATGCAGTGTGTGGGGGAATATTTGCCCGGACTAGGTTGTTTTTGCTTATTCTCTTCTCCCGTGTTCGATCACGGTGTTGACCGAGAAAGTTCCCCAGTAATTTCCGGCGCACTTTCCCATTGTCAATGGTGCGGGATGGAGGCCTGACAGGGAACAGCATTGAGTAATTCAGATGGGACGTGAAATCGAGGTTCCGCGTCCATGTTGGCGTGTATTTAAAAGAACTCTTGACAGCTGGGAATATTGTCTGTGATATCATTTAGGTGGAAGCGGACGTTAAATAAAGCTATTTCACACACACAGCTGGAAATGAAAATAATATTAAATTGTAGCCAGATAAAACTTCCCTCATATCACACTGTATAGAGTATGTCCGTCTTCATTATCTCGGTTGGTGCAGAAAGGTAGGACGTCAAACCCCATTTCATTTATATTCTTCCCGGCGAAAAATAATGGCGACATATTGAATGACCATGATCCAAATGTATAATAAATTACACCAACCATACCTTTATCGTTGATGTTATACATACGTATTCAATTTCACACACCGTCTTTATTTAAATATTATTATTGACATACTTATTCAACAAGGAAGTTACTCAAATATCTATTTTTATTTTAACACGTGTGAGGGCGTTAAGAAGCATAAAGGTCTGACTAATGATTTTAGTGAGGTGTTACATAGAAATAGATGTTAATACAACCGTAATAACGCTAGGTTACCACTATCACGATTCGCGCCAAGAAAGCGCGTTTGCGGCCATCAAATTTTCCAAATTATCAATGGGGGGGGGGGGGGGTCTACACTGTAAGTTCCGCTCTTTCGCCCCTCACAGACGGCCGGCACCGCCGCTTGTAGGCCATTCCAGGTTCTGTCCCCCGCACCTAACATCCATCTAAACCGCCCGACAGACAGACGGACAGACCCATATTTTAATAGTCTTCGAAAAACAGGGAACAACAAATACTGAATCTAACAATCTTTATTCTCGATACTAAAAGAAACCCAACAAATACTGAATCTAATAATCTTTATTTTCGTAAAGACCCATTGCAGAAATAATTATATACATAAATAATTACATGTATAATTATTATACACCGAATGAATAAAAAACTATAAATTTAGCGGGTTAATTATAAAGTCATATTTTTACTTCTGATTAAGATGGTGTATTTCTCTACAGAAGGAAATTTATAATACATACAATGGTGGTATTAGTTGTACTCTAATACTTCCATAATAAGTACCGTCAAGAGAGAAGAAAAACCCTGATTCAACAGATCTTACAATAAAAGATGGACTTGAGTTACTACATGGTGATTCAAACATCTAAATATACACAATGTAATACTTTATATTCTAACATTAGTATTTAAATAAGATTCTATAAAAGTCCATCTTATAAAAGGTTTGTATTTTATACTTTCATTCTTGTCTATCAATATCAGTACATATATGCTTACAGATGCATTATGAAAGATTTAGATAGAGTTGGACCTTCCTGCTATTATAATAGTTCCAATATAGATAATGAAAAATGAATATATTGAAAATTTCATTCAAATTACTTTATTCTGAGTGAATATATCACCTCAGTGTTTAGAGATGTAGCTTAGGTATAGCAACTTTACTTGACAATCGAGACTAAGTCTAGATTATCCATTTTTACATTAAATTATTAAATGGCGATCGTGTTTTCAATCCATTTAAATCTCATCCATCGAAGAGTTAATTATGGACTTGTCATGTGAATAGATATCTAGAAAAATAGTTTTTATAACATTTGAAGCCAAAACAAAGACATGTGATAGGCCGAGTTATCTCTTACATAATGCATCTTTAAATAAATAACAGAAAGAACTTATAAACATTTTCTTAGATGAAGATATGGTTTAATCAAGTTCCCACCTTTAAAGTCTCGATGCGCCATTTGGATGTTAGCAAAAATATCAAATTTCTCACGGCTCAATACACGTTAGTATATACTCAGATTGATTAAGACAATAAAATCAGATGTAAACTAGGCCTATCGGGTTTCTACCGATAATATACAGCGACCTCTTGTTACGCTCGAACATCATAGATGATGAAATTTCAATTCCACATATCTTTGTAAATACTGAACGGAACTGAACCATTTTTAGACTGATATTTCTATTAGAGATTTGTCTGTCACAATCATGTTGTTTGTAATTTTTTCTTATTGCTTAAAATGGCGCATCAGGACTTTAACAACTCAATACTGGATACGGTTTTTTCTATATCGTTTCTCCGTGTCTATTCAATATTTCAACCGATCATCTGAAATTTCTAGTTTGCGATATGATGTCCCATTGTTACGAAGGTTCCAAACGTGTGTTATTTATTTACATTTATTTCCAAACTAACAAAAACAGTATATATTTTATGTTGTTAAATAATAGCAATTGCCATATCCTGATTCGGGGTTGTAAATATTGCTTTAATTGTTACGGTTTCGAGGGTCTGCATAATTCGATAAGAAGGAAAAAATGGATTTATTTTCCAGAAGTATTGGCGTTTTTGGTTTGGTCTTTGCCAAGTTCGAGTATCCAGACTTGTTTCGAGCGTGACCCTAGATTCAAAAGCACCTTCCATCATTTTAAGGTCGACGTAAAAATAGCCGCATGTTTCATACTCTAATTCAATACACAGAGGAGTACCCTGCACAATATAACATGGACTTGACAAAGTCTTTTCGGTAGCATTAGCAATTAAACTAAAAGTATGTTGTATTGATTGAGTATATTCTACCTGTCCTATTGCATTACGTAACGACTGACAGTATTCCTCCCCCAACTTCAGACTTGGTATCTTAAAATCTGGAATATAAAACGGTTTCTTTTCTATAACCGTTAATTTTTTTCTCAGATCAGAAAACCCATCTAATAAATCCACAGAATCACCGGTTGACAAATCGTCAGATAATTCGGCAATACCTGTTTTTAATTCATCGATTAAGGTGATGAGTTCTTCGTGCATCTGGTTGAGATTCGCTTCATCAATCTGGGATTTCTTGATGTCTAGTTTGAACTTTTCGCCATAAGATTTTACTATTTCACAAATAATCGTAACTTGCTGATCCACCAACTTACAGGCGGTTGTGATAGATTGGTGGAGTTCAGACGATGACGTTTTTACCACATCTCGGCAATCACACAGTCGTTGTATCTTACGGTCTATGTCCTTCATTAGTTTCCATAGACTGGCTCTAGTTACATTAGTGACATCAGTGCTTATTACTGTATGATGTTCGTGTTTTTTCTTTGAACATTTAGAACAAATTACTTTGGAACAGTCTGAACAATAAACTGCAAACTTCTTCTGGTGATGTTGACAAATGACATGGCGCACAGGTTTGACGTCATCTGGATCGTCTTCGTCAAGTGATATGACGTAATGATTCAAGCCGCTGACTAACAAATCGTGAGTATTTTTACATGAGTCACACAGGAATTTGTCACAATCTTTACAGCGGAATTGTGATTGGTTATCCTTATCACAAATATTACATGGTGGGTTGCTTTCAGGTTGATTGACGCTTTGTCTTTCTTCAATGTAAACATTAGAAGCCAAGTCCTTCACCCCACCAGTGGGGATTGGAATAGTACGTCTACACAACGGACACATAAATTCGCCATTTTCTTCAAATTTACTGACATAATCACTTAGGCAACTCTCGCAAAATGAATGAAAACAGTCCAAGATTTTAGGCTTCTTGAAGTCGTTTAAACAAATGCTACAGTTCAGACGATCATTTTTCTCCGCCATATTGCTTTCACCGTCTGCTCGTCTTTAACAAGGATGTTATTATGTCACCATTCTCCCAGTGATATATGTGTCACGTGATTTCAATGTATGTGTTATTTATTGACTGTGGCTCTGTTCAGTATATACATGTATAGTCGCCTTGTAAATATGTGTCACGTGATTTCAATATAAAGATAATGTATGTTAATCTGTAGTTCTATTCAGTGTATACAGTAAATACGTAGCGATTTGAAAATCTGTCCCAAAACCTCTTCTAAATGTTGGAACGTGCTAGCTATGTCTTAGTTGAGACCTTTCGTGTTAGGTTTAGGGTTGCATGACAGTTGGACAAAATAATACGTTATGTAGTTGACAAGATAGCATGTCAGCTTGACACGATATCAAGTTATGTAGACACGGCGTATAGACAATATTATGGAAGCCTATTGCGGCCGCGAGAAGTCGAGGGCGAGAACACGAGGAAACAGGGCGAGAATACGAGGATCTCGCCCCGAGAACACGAGATTACTTTCACCTCGACTTCTCGCTCCCTCGTCCCTCGACTTCTCGCTCCCTCGTGTTCTCGCCTTTGAAAAACCTCGTGTTCTCGCACTCGACTTCTCGCTCACTCGTGTTCTCGCCTTTGAAAAAGCTCGACTTCTCGCTCCCTCGCCTTTGAGTTAATCTCCTTCTCTCGTGTTCTCGCTCCCTCGCTTCGTCACAATCTCGACTTCTCGTCTTATCGCCTCTGAAGTGCAGTTTATACGCATGTCCACTGACTACCGTGTCGGCATTTATATTTGGACACGGATTATAATAAACGGAAATATTTGAGGTTCTAGAAAATTTAATAGTCATAAACAATTTTAATCTCCTCTTGCACAGATAGTATTGTATTCTGTAATCGATTTTAAGTCTTCAGTCGAATCTTTCTTTGCTCTCTAACTTCAATAACCTTCATCGGGTTTTTTGATGCGTGGACTTGTCAGTGCTGTAGGATGCAGGGATATTGGCCGAGAAAGTTCATCGGGGTTTTCCGACGTGGTTTCCCCTTGTCAGTGGTGCAGAACGGAGGGCCTGACAAGGACAGTTGTCTAGTCCTTCGGATGAGACGAAAAACCGAGGTCCCGTGTATACATTGGAATGCTCGTAAAAGATCCCTTTGCAGTTGGAATTCGATATAAGAGTAGGCGATAGTGCCGCGGCCCGGGCAAATTTCCCTCATAGCACACTGTATGGCGTATGTCCGTCTTCATTAGCCCAATCGGAGCAGAACAGTAGGACGTTAAACCCTATTTCATTTCATTTCATCAAAGTTCATCGGACATTTTCTGGCTGGGTTTACCCATGACAGTTGTGAAGGAAGAATGGGATAAAAAAGACCTAAGTTCTGTGTGCGGATTCGAAATGAAGTAGGGGCTGGTGTAAGACGGAAGGCATAGGGACAGCATGTCGTTCGGATGGCATGAAAAACCGAGGTTCCGTGTAAACATTGGCGTGGTGGTGGTGGTGTGTGTGTGTGTGTGGGGGGGGGGGGACTCTGTTTCGATCCCCCGCTTATATGTGACATGGAGTAGGGTCGTCTGTCCAACCTTGTGGGTTTTCTTCAGGTCCTCCCCCCCACCCTAAAAAAAACCCTGTTAATTGCTTGATTTGTCGAGTGGACGTTCAACCCCATTCACCCAGCCCCCGTCATTTCATTTTCATTTCGAACGTCAATAAAAACCGATAATAATTATTACCTTTGTATTAGAAAATAACGTTTTTAAACACATTAATACATAATATAAGTACTAGACCAAAAATAACCACATTAAGTCATACTGTACACACATTAAAATGTCGCACACTAATATAGTCCAGTCAATCTAGCTGAAAAAAGGGCCCAACCCAAAACAAATTGCAACAGAATTTCTTTTGGTGGTATGCATTTCTGTATGGTCTCCTGCACATCATACTAAAAATGTTCCAAAATATTTTTGGTGGAAATGGGTCAAATTGCGTAATATGCTAATTAGCATAATTTCATATTTCAAAAATTGATTTAATGCCATAATTTGGCTATCAAATGTTCAAATTTGGTGGAAATTGTATCCAAACCCATGTTTTCGTGGTCAGGGACACAAATAAACACATATAGAATATAATCACATAATTAGCTGATGCACAATATGCAAATTAACATCCGCAATTAGTGAAAAACTTATTTTTCCCCCTAAATCTGAAACTGTTTAACTTAGCTCCATGAAACCAGTACCTATGCCCATAATTACAGGGTCAAGGGTACTGACAAGCACTAGAAGAACAGCACAGTTATATTGCATAATATAGAATATGCAAATTAGACACCTGGGCCATGACTGAAAAACAAACTTTTAGTCCAATCTCCAAAAACATTTGCAATAAGTATGACTTGTTTGAAAAGCATGCTTTACTCAATAACTTCAATCAGTGCACTAATTTGTTTACAATTGTATCATTACCGATTTTTATGGGGATTAGGAATCCAGTGAAAACTATTATAGTTCATTTAGGCGTTTGCGTTACAGAAATTATGGTCTTTAGACCCCCACCCCACCCCAAATGACTTTCTTTGAGTACTAAGACCAATATTTTACTGCAAGAGAGTATCCTCGGTGTATTACTAAAACTTTATTGTTATACATTTCGTTTAAATTAGGGTAAACAGGTAGAATTATATAATATGTTAACTCTCTCCAAAATCCCTGAAAGCATTTTTTCTTCTTCTCCAAATAGCTTTACAAAAGAGGGTCTGAATGAGACAGAAATGATAAAAATTCTTGTTTTGATGATCAATGCAACAATATATATATATTTTTTTCTACATGTTACGACTATCAGGTCTCCAAATGTCGGTATCCTTTAAGTAGTTGATGATTGCATTTGCGCCATTCTCTTCCATGTGTTCAGTTAGTGTTTCAAAGAGTAAGGGCTGGTATCATTCTGAAGTCAAGATTGGATTCATTGTCTGTTTGGTAACGTTGATGAGGTCCCTACGTCTGCAATTTACGGTATATCTCAGTTTCAGGAAAAACTCTCTGGATAGACCTTTTTTTTTAGTAATCTCAAGGTCATTAATGGCAGACAACAGACGAAAATCTGACTTTAATACTAGCAACTGGGAATACACCCGCAAATTGGTATCCCCAGTCTTGTTTTTAAGTAGAGCACCAACACGTGGAACTATGTGATTGTCGATACACTGTAACAAAAATTTCCGTGAAAAAACGTAAAAAATTCCGGAAACAAAAATTACCAGGAAAATTTTATCCGTATTTGTTTTTCCTGTAATTTACAGAAATTCCTTCAATTAACATAAATTCCATTTTCAAATACAGAAAAAAAAAATCCTGGTAAATTTTGTTTCCTGACCATGAAGGTGATAAAAATTTCATTGAATTAACCATTGACTTTATACGCGTGCGTGAAATAGCTTTATTTAACGTCCGCTTCCACCGAAGTGATACCGCAAATAATTTTTAAACGTAACCTCTTTTCGCTATTATAAGAATCGAGAGCAAGGTATCACAAACCGCTACTCGTCAGTGGTTGGAGGCTTTCAGATGTAAGTTTGCGGTATTATCAATTCGCGGGTATGCAGACTCTGCCACAGAGACAAACCGACTTACACTGGCCAACCGGTTGTACTATCCGGACTTTAGCGTGCTTGATTACCAGATATTACAACCTTAACACCCGCAGCATTAAAACATACTTTTACATATTTATGAAAATACTTACAATCTGATTACCGTATGATGAATAACAATACACTTTATAGATCTTATAAATAATGGAAATTAGATATACATGTCAATTAATATATCAAACGTTACAAAATATGATTCTTCATATTATGGTTAATAAATTGAAATGAATACTATAACATGATGATTATTAGGAATGATTATATATGTATACGATTACTTATCGTTGCACCGTTTATCCCGTAAAACAACAGAATTAAGTCCATTACAGAACGGAATAAAACATTTTATCCCTAAATTTCACGGAACTTCCTTGTCATTCCACCGTTTATTCCGTAAAATAACAGAATTAAGTCCGTTATAATAATAATAATAATAATAATAATAATAATAAAAACTTTATTTAATGAGGCAACGTATTTAGTTTGCAAAAAAAACCTAATCTTCCATAGGTCCCTCCTAAACTACAAAGACATATATACATGTAATATCAGGATAAATTTAAAATCATTAGAAATGCAATAGCATTTTAAAGTGGGAAGTTTGATAAGTCACTCCCAAACTACAAAACATATACATTATACAAGTAGAATATAGGAAGAACACTATAATTACACACAAAATAAAATAGAATGCAGTTGCAAGTTAAAAATAATAAGTATGTCATCAGTTGAATATTATGGTTCCTTCAGTGTGCAAAATAAATGAGTTTTCAGTTTAATCTTAAAATTTTCAACATTTTTACACATCTTTATATCAAAAGGCAGATTGTTCCATAAAAGACATGCAGAATAATGAAAAGTACGTTTCATGGATTCCGTTTTGCATTTTTGAAGAAAAAGAGATTTACTGGTCTGTGAACGGAGCAAGATATCCGTTTTGGAAACAAGAGATTTTTCAATAAAATGGAAATTTAGATAAAGTGGAGTATTAAATGTAATAATTTTGAATGATAAGACAATTTTATTGTAAAGAATCCTCTGTGTAAGGGTAAGCCAACCGAGTTTAGTAAATAAAGAGGTGGACGGAGTTTCAATCGGTGCATCAAGAATAGCTCTTGCTGCCCTCTTTTGTAATTTTAAAAGAATGTCTAATCTACTTTTGGTAGCATTTCCCCAAATAATAGAGCAATAATCAAATATTGGTAGTATGTAACTGTTATAAAACAAAATTCTTGTCTCGTAAGGTAAATGATCTTTTATCTTATTTAGGAGAAATATTTTTGATGCGAGTTTTTTAGACATATCTGCTATCTGTGCTTCCCAATTAAGGTCTTGGTCAATTTGAATTCCAAGTAATTTTGCGGTAGTAACCGTCTCAATTTTCTCACCATGGAGTGATAAAGTTAGGTTTTTCTGATTTCTTTTGTGTTT